GGATTTGGGGGTCCTTGTACACCACAAACTGAATGGTAGCTTGCAGTGCCAGGCTGCTGTAAACAAAGCTAGCAGGGTTTTGTCCTGTATTAAAAAGGGGATGTATTGCAGGGACAAGTCTATAATTTTGCCACTTTATAGATCATTGGTTCAACCTCATCTGGAGTACGCGGTCCAGTTCTGGTCACCAGTACTAAGAAAACATGTCCTTGAGTTGGAAAAAGTCCAGCGGAGGGCAACCAAACTAATTAGGGGTATGGAGGACCAGAGCTACGAGACAAGGCTACTAAATTTAAACATGTTCACATTGGAGGTGAGGAGATTAAGGGGGGATATGATCTCCATGTACAAAATGTTCAATGGTGGTAGCAACATTAGCGATAAACTGTTTAAAATTAACTCCATTACAAAAACTAGAGGCCATCACCTAAAATTGGTGGAAACAAAATTCCAGCACAAGGGGTGCAGGGGGTTCTTCACAGTAAGATCAGTTAGGGTCTGGAACCCACTACCACAGGCGGTGATTTCAGCAAATAATGTGGAATTGTTCAATAAACTTTTGGACGATTTCTTAAGGGACCGTAATATACAGGGGTACAGGTACTCCTAGAATGAGATCCTAATAGGTTGGACTAATGTCTTTATTCAACCTCAAATACTATGCAACTATGGTGTATCTAGAAACTATAAAATGGTGTGGATTTCAATTTCCTCGTTTAAACCTATAGGTGCCAAGGAGTTTAATTTATATATCCAAAAAGTCTCTTCTACTTAAAAGGTGAAAGCGTTCAGATGAGGATGTGGAAATGTTTTCAATGGCGAACACATGGAGATCTTGGGTCCTTTCTTGGGGTTTCAGGGTGAAGTGTCGAGGAACACCATGTTCAAGGTCACCCTTCTCAATTAGGCACCTATGTTCACCAATTCTGGTGCGTAAAGGGCGTATGGTACTGCCAACATAAATCTGACCACACGAGCACGCGAGTCCATATACAACATGGTCATGGGAACATGTGATGCAGTAGGGATTTTTTAGATGATCGTAGAACTTAGTCTGGCAATGTTGGATGAATTGACAAGTGAGGCGCCTAGACTTTCTGCATTGGAATGTCCCAATCCTACTATCAAATAAAAAATGTTTTGGGCGGAATTCGAGACCTTGAAAAGGACCGGCTGTGTCCAACCATGTTTTTGACACTTTTTGATTTTCTAAAGTTGATAGGTTTAGAAGGTAAGAAGGGGCCCAAATTTTGGATCTTGCACTACCAATTCCAGGCTTGACAAAGAGGCTGCGCCTCGAAACGCGTAGCCGTCAGTTGGAGAGATATCTACAGTTACAGTGCTCCCCGGCTCCATTGTATGCCATCCCATTGTGACATAGTGTCACTTTAGCTGCGGACCCACATGATTCCACGAGCGCTCTGTACTCTGAGCCGTTCGGCACTCACACTCTCCCGGCTTCTCTGCCGCCACGGCTCAGCTGAGCCCGTGCAGATGACTGATATCGCTCCCACTGACAGCAAAGAGTTTTTCAAGCCTCATGTTCCTGGTAACACCACAGGCTACACGGACGTCAGATGGGTTCCTCTGAGGCATGCTGACAACTTAAACGTGAGTCATATAGACTCTCACAGTAGTAGCGCTCTTTGTATGTGTGTATTGTTGCTATTTTGGATTTAAATCACCACTGGGGGATTTTTTACTATATTAAATGATAAATGAATATGATAAAACATTTATTATGACCCAATTTTTTGGTAAAATATAAGACAGGGTCACGTCGGGTAAGATCTCTGCTTCATCAGCTTCTTTTGGGGTCCCCAGGTGACATTAGGGGTCTTAGGAGACCCCTAATGTCTCCATAAAGAGGACCTGTCAGTGTGCCTTTGCTATTATATAGGGGGGTTTTAATTCCCTATGTAATAGCAATGACTAAGTGTAAAAAAAAAAAAACCATAAAAGTTTTTTAAAAAAACAAAAAAAAGTTAAAAATTCAGTTCCCCACCCCCACGTTTACGCACATATAAAATTAAATATGCGTCCGGTGCACCAGCGTGCGAAAATGACAATTGCACTACACGCGTTACATATCCCCGCGAACGTCGCAGTGAGAGCAATAATTTTAAGGGCCATCAATCACTGATAACACTAAACTGATGAGCGGTAAAAGCTTTTAAAGCGCCGCCTATGGCCAATTAGGGTATTATAGTTTTTTGAGGTTTCACGCGCGTCTTTTTACCCGACGTGACCCTGTCTTATAGTTTACCAAAACATTGGGTCATAATAAATGTTTTATCATTTAATATTTAGAGAAACAGTTTTTTTAAAAGAAATTCGGTAATTTTTCCTTAATATAGTAAAAAATAAAAGTGGTGATTAAATCCAAAAGAAAGCTCTATCTGTCCCCCAAAAATGGTATACAATTTATTTCAGTACAGCGTTGCATGACGGAATAAATGTCGAAGTACCGCAGCGCTGAATACTGAAAAAAATGGATGGGAAGGGGGTTCAACACCGTGGACTTCAACTGGTTAAATGATAATCTGACCAACTTTTCATATTTATTATATTTGTGTCAATCAAA